CAGGATGCAGTCCAACTCCTCACAAACATGAATAATGAGATCCTAAAAGGGGAATGATTTGCAATCCCTGGGTTTCTTAAAGAGGACTTCTTAGTTGCAAGTGACAAAAACCCAGCACATAACATGGCTTGAACACACACATGAATTCACGACAAGATTCTCAAAACCATGGGGAAGGCAGGCAAGTGTGCAGCTAGATCTCAGGGACAACAGGGACGAGTAACTCTCATGACATCAGGAATTTCTCTAAGGTCCATAACTGTCTCTGAATATCAGCTTTATTTTCTTCCTAAACCTACTTCTTCCACAAAGTAGAAAAAATGACCTCTCGTTGTGTCCACACTTCACACGTCCCATCTTTTCCACCACAAAGGAGATGAAAATCACTCTTTCTGAAAATCACAAGGAAGTCCTCAGATGTCGCATGGCCAAGGGATGGGGTACCACAATTGGCCTAACATTGGTCAGGTGCCTACCTCAGGGTCAATCACTGAAGACCAGAAAACTGGGAATTACAGGGAGATGGAAGTACTTGTGTAAACCAAGAGTAAAGAAAGGAGCGTTTCCCAGACAAGAGGGGATGCTGTTCTGGAAAGATGAAAGAATAGATTTTCACCATGCTAAGGTAAGGAAAATCAGAGATATTCCCACCTGTGCTTCAGGGAATCCCATAGAGGTGGTGGCTGAGCAGTGACTCAGGGAGGCAACAAGTGACAGAGCTCGCAGCAGATCTGCCAACTGTGCTTAAACAATTCATGTCTATGTCCTGCTTGCAAATCTAGTGGCCATCAATAAGGCATTGGAAAGACGACTGCTGTTCAGTGATTTCTTTAAGCTCTATGCCTGACTTCCTAGGGCCAATGTAAATTGTGGAAAGTTTGTCTCTGGCCACTCCATCTTCCTTGGCCTCGGCACCCATTCCCATAATTCTCAGTTACCTCATTCTCAGGTGCTCACTCCCCATCCTAACCCATGCTCAGAGAGGCCTCTGGACAGTCACCTTCTGAATAAAGTGGCTAGCAATGCATGGGGGTTCCCTTCTCAAATAATTTACACTTGAACAGTGGTAAAGCCCAGATATATAGAATGTCAGACCACAAAGGGACTCACAATTCTCTCATTCTAACCTCTCCCCAGTTATGCAGATGGAGAAATTGAGGTGAAGAATGGGTAATTCCCTTATGGAAGGACACACAGCTGGTTAGTGGCAGTCACTAACCGGCATTCTTTCTATCACATCCTACAGTCTTCAGAAAAGGTCCAAGAGGCTAATTTCAAGCAAAGGAACTGGAAGCAAAGAAAGGAGATTTAGAAGGGAATCAGAGCCCTTCTTGGCACCTTGAAAATCATGCCATATTGCTCACGTCTGCTGCAACCAGTGTAAGGAAATATCTACTAACTTGCACTGCCCCTGGAAGCACTGTGGCTTTTCTTCTCCCACCTCCTGTACCAAGAAATGTGGTGCCCAGGACCCCTCTGTCTGGGGCAAAAGACAGTGGGGGAGTCTCCTGAAGCTACCAAATGGGCCATGATACCAAGTCCCTTCTTGGACAGTTCTTGGAGGACTTGGCTCATGATAGTGGAGTCACCTTGGAGGAAACCATGTGTTGGCAGGAACTTGAGAAGGGCGATGGGAAGAGTCCAGCTGAGTGCGAGGCTTGAGACCAGGCAGGGTGTGGGTATGGTATCATACTCGCCATCCCCTCATTGATCTGGATATCCAAGGTTATCTCTCCAGAAGACCTTTTTATTCTCCTTTTAGGCATTATAGCCACATTCAAAACCTTCATGTAGATGGTGTTTTCTGGTCTGGATAGTCTAGTATTCCCTAAGGATGTATATCCAAAAGCAGATTTTTGAATGATTTCTCATCAGCTGTATATTTGCTGTTAAAAAAAGACTTTTAGAATTAAAATAATTCAATTAATCACAGGTTGCTTTATTTGAATGACTTTAACACAAGATATAGCCAGACTTAAGGTGATGCTAACACCTATTTATGACAAGGTAACCCCCCTATTATCAACTATTCTTTAAAATTACCCAATTTAATCCTGTCTCTGCTTCCATACATAAGTGGAAAGAATTTTTTTAAACCTTCCCTGAGTTCTCTTTATAGAGCAAAAAATAAAAGTCCCATTGAGGCTTTGTATCCACTAGTTCCTACAGACCTTTAAGTTAGCGCTTTCTTCTAAAATAGAAGTCTTTAACTGCCTACTTAGAATTTCATCAGAAGAAGGCATGAAATTGTCTCCTTAAACCTGGCAACTCATCCTCGGATTAGTCCCTTTCAATTCCTCATGAACTCCTTGCCTTCTGGCAGATTCTAAGAGAGCAAAGAACTCTTCAGTGTATTACTTTTATTCACAAAGATCCAATATTGTCTTTTTCAATCAGGAGGGAGCTTCATACAACTAATCCAAGCTTTCTAACTACTTCCTTAACTTTTCCTAGCACCTGTAACACAATTGACACATGAACTGTTTATTAACCAGTCCCCTTAGTGGAGCTATCAATTTTCAGCCTGGGTTTTAACAACCAGACAAACCACTATTTAAAGGATCAAATATTTCTTTTGAAAATTATAATATATATTTTAAAGCATCCTGTCTTCTAGAATAAGCACAATGTCTTTGAAGATTTAAGTGTGTTTTATTTTACTATAAGTGATCTTAAATTGAATATCCTTTGTATGCCTTCACCATGAATCTTCTATGCTTCACTTCTCTGATTCTTTCCATTTAAAATCCTGTTACTGTAATTCCAGGTGTGACATAGCAGCATTTTTGGGTGGCTGAGTTTGGAATCATCCTCTGTTTGTAATGTTATTGATACTGTTATACTCTCCCTCATGGTTTATATCATTCATACCCCTGGGACCTTGTTTTTGGGTAATCAAAGGGAAAGGGAGAAAAGGAGTTTGAGTTCCAGGAACAAAGATCAAAGAAGGAACATAAAATGATGAGTAGATGGGGCCCATTCCTTTCCAGTGCCTTGGGTCTGATTGAGGGACCTACAGTTAGATAACTGAAGATCAAGAGCCAACAGATTATTTCCATGTGTTGGCTGTTGTAAATAATGCTGCTGTGGACATGCGGGTGCAGATATCTTTTTGAGTTAGTGTTTTCATTTCCTTTGGATATATTCCCAGAAGCGGAATGGCTGGATCATATGGTGGTTCTATTTTTAATTTTTTTGAGGATCCTCTATCCTGTTTTTCATAGTGGCTGTATCAATTTACAATCCTACCAACAATGACAAGGGTTTCCTTTTCACCACATCCATGCCTGCATTTGTTATCTTTTATCTTCTTGATTATAGCCATTCTAACAGGCATGAGGTGGTATCTCATCGTGGTTTTGATTTGCATTTCCCTAATGACTAGTGATGTCAAGGATCTTTTCATGTACCTGTTGGCCTTTTGTATGTTTTCTTTGGAAAAATGTCTATTCAGGTCCTTTGCCCATTTTTTTAATTGGGTTATTTGTTTTTTTGTTATTAAGTTGTATGAGTTCTTTATACATTTTGGATATTAACAGACAGAGAAAGACAAATACTATATGATCTCACTTATACATGGAATCCAAAATAAATAAATAAATAAAACAACTCATAGAAATAGAGATCAGACTTGTGGTTACCAGAAGCAGAAGGTGGGGGAAGGAGCAACTGGAAGATGATGGTCAAAGGCACAAATTTCTAGTTATAAGATAAATAAATACTAGGGGTGTAATGTGTCCATAATGTATAACATGAATCCTAAGAGTTCTCTTCATAGGGAGAAAATTTTTTTCTTTTTTCTTTTCTTCTTTTTTTTTCTTTTTATTGTATCTGTACAAGATGATAGACATTAGCTGAAGCTATTGTGGCAATCATTTCACAATATGTGTAAATCAAACCACCACGCTGTACACCTTAAACTTATATATGTCAATTATTTCTCAGTAAAACTGGGGGAAAAAACCCAACAGATTCTGGGAGGCTTTGGACACTGGCTGAGGTGTTGCTGAATGCAGGGACCCAGTGTAGGCCAGGATTCACTCCTGCTCACCCCTGCGTGGAATGCAGCAATACTCTGCCTGCCCAAGGTCAAAAGCTTTAAGAACACAAAGAGTTGACATCTATGATACAGGCACTATAGATACTATTATAGGCAATGGGAATAATGGGAATTCACCAAGTGGTTTCTCAGGCAAACAATGTGACTAAGTGGGAGCTAAAACAGGGAGAAGAAAGAACAGGGCGTATTTCCAGTGCTATGACATTGACAGACATGTTATTGTGGGAGTTTTTTAGTGATTCATGTGAAACATCTCTGTGGACTACTACAAGAGTCTGAAGAATACTTTGAGCATAGTCAGCTTTATTGGCTGGACCATCAAACTACCCTAATCATTAAAAATACATGTAATCTAAATATCGAAACCTAATTGGTGATATCATTCTGAAGTGTATACAAGTGAAGAGTACTGACAATGATGTCTGCAACTCATTTTGAAGTGCATCAAAAAATATGGTAGAATGATGGATGAATTGAAGGATGGATAAATGAATAGATTACATATATATATATATGATAAAGCAAATATAACAAAATATTCGCAATCGCAGAAACGAAGTATCGGGTATAGGGAGTTCACTATACATTATTTTCAACATTTCTATATGATAGAAATCTTTCATAGAAAATTTTGCCGAAAAAATGTAATCTTATTTTATAGTCACAGACCAGAGAGGTGTGCACATCTGGATTACACAGGATTTAACTTCAGATCCTTTTGTCATTTGTCCTGGGAGTTAGAGCTCTCACCCCAATCTCTTCTCAGCCTGCCTCTTCCTTTTCTTCCTTTCTTTCTCCAGGATTAAAAGTTTGGGCTCTTTTTTACACCTTGTACCATGACACATACATTTAAACATTGAGCGTGCTATAAATAATGACTGCCCAGAATGCTAACACTGCAGAGGAGGTGATTCTCAGGATTTTCCAAGGTTGCAGACAGTTAGGACAACTTGGCTTTGTTGAGAATTTTCCTCAGGGCCTCCTTCACTTCCCTGTTCCTCAGGCTGTAGATGAGGGGGTTCAACATGGGGATCACTGTTGTGTAGAACACAGACACCACCCGATCCTCCTGTGAGGACTGGCCTGAGTTATCTCTCAGATACATGAAGATGAGGGTGCCAAAGAAGAGTGACACAGTGGTGAGGTGGGAGGCACACGTAGAAAAGGTCTTGGCCCTGCCTCCAGCTGAGGAGATCCTCATAATGGTCATGATAATAAACAGATAGGACACCAAGATCACCACCATGCAGGCAGGGATGACAAAAATGGTGAACACAATAATTACCACTTCCTGGGTGTAGCTGTCCCCACAAGTCAGCTTTAAAAGAGGAGGGAGGTCACAAAAAATGAAGTCAATCTCATTGGTTCCACAGAAGGAGAGAGTGAAAGCTGAGACTGTCCGCACCAAGGCACTGAAAAGACCAGCAATGTAAGCCCCAGCCACGAAACTCAAAAGGGTCTTCTGTGTCATGATGGTGACATAAAGCAGAGGTTGGCACACGGCCACGTAGCGGTCATAGGCCATGATTGCCAGGAGGTAGCAGTCAATGGAGCCAAAGAAGGTGAAGAGGAAGAATTGAGCAGCACAGCGTGTGTAGGATAAAACTGCCCCATGCTCCAACAAAATGGCCATCATCTGAGGCACAGTGACAGACGAGTAGCAGATGTCCATGAAAGAGAGTTGACTCAGAAGGAAGTACATTGGGGTGTGGAGCCAGTGATCCATGCGAATCAGGATAATCATGCCCAAGTTCCCTGACAAAGTGATGAGATAGATAAATAGAAAGAGGAGGAAGAGAGGGAGTGACCATTCAGGACAGTCAGTGAAAGTGATAAGGAGGAATTCAGTCACTGAGCTGAAGTTCTTCTCTGCCATGAAGCCAGAGGTACCTGAGAGGTCTAGGATCAGAGGCAAGTTAGGAAGATATAAATAGGGCTTAACTATATCTCTAGTTTACATCTACTGAACAGGTACTATGGACGAATTATGCCAAGTGCCGTGTGAGGCTTCAGAGATGACTGGTCTTAGCTCCTACTTTTAAGGGAGTTCTGTAACAGAGTCATCTTAGTATGTCAAGAAAACTGATACGGACAGGCATCCTCAGAATAGGAGTGCATAGTCTCCAATCTTTATTGCTAACTAGCTGTATGAGCTCCTATAAGTGAGACAATCACTCTTACCCCAAATTTCCCTATCACTCCAATAAGGGTTGATACAGGGAGTCCTGCCTACCATGGGAATATCCATCTCAGGACTCTGTCCCTTTTTGTCCATGACCACAGTTCCTCCCTTATTTCAAAACCTCTTCATCTCTTGCCTGGATCAAAACAACAGCCATGTAACTACCAGCTCTCGCTGCCTTCAGACTCGCTTCTTGCCAATTCTTGCTTCTCATTGTGGCCAGAGTGATATTTCTATGACTTTCATTTGATCATGTCTCATTCCCCTGTGAAAAACCCCACCACGGCTCCCCATCAAGGACAGGAATTATTTAGATTCCTTGACATCTCAGGATGCCCTCTATGAGATCTCTCCTATTTCCTTCCTCATGTCCCTTTCTTCTCTCTTCTCACACCCACAGCCACACTCCAGACTCCCACACTTCTCTTCAGCCACACTGAATTATTTTCAGCTTCTCCAATCCTCCATGTTCTCTCACACCTCTGTGCTTTCCACAGGTCACCCCTTCTGCCGTAACACCTTATCTTTCCTATCCCCAGGGTCATGCCCAACTCCTACGCCACCTTCAAACCTCAGTTCAGATAGTACTTCCTACAAGAAGTCTCTCTTGAGTCCACCTTCCCTGCTCAGGGCATGTGCCCCTGGAGCTCAGCACATAGTAAGAGCTTAACATGTTTTTGAGGAATAAATAAAGTTATCAAATGACATACGAAGCACCTTGTAAAGGCAAAGGCACTGTACACACGTTCAAGTGATTATTTTTATTCTTATGAAAATGTTTAAAAACAAAAAGTGTCTGAAGGCTAAGAACTCATTAAAATCCATCAACATTCATGAAGGTCATAAGCCATCTTTGGGTTTACCCTTCCGTTCCAACCTAACAATGCGCTTACTTAACAGATGCTGTCTTAATTAGAGCCCCCTAGTTTACCAAAAATAGATTTTGTAAGAACTGATATTGTCCTCAATAATAGAAACAATTCCAAGTGGTTTATACATCAACTCAGTTAATCCCCACAACCACTTTATAAGATAGGAACTTTTATTATCCTCATTTTATAGATAGAAAACTGAGGCAGAAAGAGTTTAAGTAACATGCCCAAGATTGCACAGCTACTAAATGGTGAAACCATCATTAGGAACAAAACTGCACACGGAAGCACTATTTATCTCATAACAGGATTTCACATGCATCACGTGTCTACTCCAACAGCTTCTCAGGACTCAGGAACTGTCTACCTTTAAGTAGACAATCATGAATACCAGCACTGCAGTCTATTCATATCTGAAGGCTGATGCAGACTTTTGTGCTAATGGATAGAAAGTCCTTCGGCAGAGTTGCAGTGCAGCAGGAAAAAGAAGATATTTGATCATCTTTAAAGCATTAGACTTTGGCAGCTACTCCAGTGTTGGATTGTCATATTGGGGAAAATAACAAATAAAAGAAATTGGATCTGTTGATCTGAATTGAGCATGAACCACGAGAATCAGTTTTCTGGATCAGTTTTCAGGATCAGTTTTCTCACCTGAACTGCACTTCACCTTTACCTGGCCAGTCCTCTTCTCTCTTTGCTCACTAATTTTCCTTTGTCTCTAAAAGGTCATTTCTCTTCCACTGCTTGGAGAAACATCCCAAGGGTGTAGAGGAGAGATCAGTGTTCTGGGCAGTAGGAGGTCTGGGTGGTTCTTCCATACCTGCTCAGTCATGACACTGAGCAAGTCACTTAATCTCTCCAGGCCTCAGTGTCCTTCCCACTCCCCCTACACTCCCCTCACACAAAAAAAAATAGTGAATCAACATGGGGACAATAATGTCACAGCTGCCTGAATGTCGGTCCCTGCAACGTATCATCCTCAAGTCCCTTGCTAGTTCTGGTCTGTCAAGCACTTTCTTCTCTCTCTTCTCTTAATCTTTCTGTTTCTGTGATCTGGTAAATCTGATTAAGATGCATTCCTCACCGTGGTTTTTGTTCAACTGCAGGCTGGGACAGCAGAGGTTGGAGAAAAACCTCTTCCTATGGGCTCCTGGATCCAATGCAAATCCCTTTTAGGGAAGATACTAATAGTTGCTACAAAAGCTCTGAAGTCCCCAATCGATGCCTATCGTGGTCTCTAAGGAAAAGCAATTATTGCTCATGAGGATTCTTAATAAGACACCTGGTCCCAGTCCCAGCTTCCAAAGCCCTGTGATGCACCCACTGAGTGGAGTCTAAAAACCCTGAATCCCAGTTCTGCATGGTCCCTTGAGGAGGGAGATGTCTCTGGCTTTAACTTCTCCAGTCAGAACAACGTCAGAAATTGTGCCCATTGCCACCCTCATCAGTGTAGCCATATCCTCCAAGAAGGGCACTTTGTAAACTCAAGGCTTTGCTCTACATTATCCGGGAGGACACACTGGGGAGTCTACACAGAGACCTCAACAAGACAGATCATGTCTTCTAAGTTTGCCCTCCCTAGGGGTTAAGTGTTTCATTAATTCTCTCCTTTTTCCCTCCTTTAAAAGCAAATGAAACCATAGGGGAAACAAAAGCCCGGGATGTTGCCCAGAGGAGAAATTGGCAAGTTCTTCTTGTTGGCATAGCTTTTGCCAAATCTCTGCATCTTTGACACTATAGTATTTCTTCAGTCCCAGATTCAGAGGCATTTTGTTAAGTCATTGAATTTCAAGTCCCAGTTCAGAAAAGGAAATAAGGAAGATGGTGAAGAACAGAATAATTGTTCTCTGACAATTATGAGAACCAAGAGGAAATGAGAACGCATAGCTCACTGATTCATCACTGTGCTAATAGTTTTAAATGAAGAGCAAGAGATACAAAATGAGGCAAACCCCTCCAAAAGAGAAAACACACTGCCTGTCTACAAGGAAGGTGCAACCTAATAGGAAAGATAATTATCCCTCCTAGAAGATAACAAGTACTAACTTTTAAGCAAGATGTAGGTAAGGTGCCATGGGGATTCAGTGTAGGGCAAGATTACTTATGGGTGGGGTAGATCAAGGAGGGCTTCCGAGAGGAGGTGGAATTTGACAATCAGTTTGGACAGACATGGGAGGGGGACAAAGGGTGGGCAAAACTCAGGTAGGAGAATCAGTGTGAACAAATTCACAGGGACAGGTGAGCCCAGGGACTACTCCCGGGACAACGAGTGGGACTTTGCAGCGGCACAGGATGATAGATACTAGGCAAGTCCAGGACTGGGATGAAGTGAGTCAGGCATTCAGCTCAGGTACAAAAGATAAGGCAGCACCTTTGTTTCTAAAAGGGGGGACATTAGTAAACAAGGTAAACTATATTGTAATGTTATTTAAAAATCAAAAGCAATGCAAAAAATCTAAGATGAACAAAATATCAAAATTTTAAACAATATGGCACTAGTATCGCTGACTTTCCTTTTGCCTCTGTCACTAATAGGGCTCAGCATAGCACTGGAGATATACCTGAAAAGGGAGGGCAAGACAAGGGGCTTCCAGGGGACAGGATTAACAAATGTCTTTTAATCATCTAGGGACATTCCATTTCTTTCCTCTCAACTCTCCACTTAGGAAAAGAAAATATAGGAAGCCCAACTTAATAAGATCTAATACTTGCAGAATCTCTTTAACCATTTCAAAGCACTCTCCTCACCTATCTTCACAAGAGCCCTGCAGGATTAAGAGATATTGTGGGACTCTCCATTTGTACTGATAAGAAAACAGAGGCAAAAAGTGGGGCCCAAGATCACAGAGTCACTTGGTGAGTGGACTAGAAATTTTGTCTGTCCTGTACACACTGGTTGCTAATGGACTCTGCCTAGGCCACAGCCCCTACTGTCCAAGAGGACATTTTTTTTTAATGATCACACACACACATGCACATGCATGCCAGAGCTCATTGGGTAAAGAGGTGAGTTTTCTGGGCTATGCTGTATTAATAGATCAACTAAAAATCACAGTGGCTTTACATAGTAAATTTGTATTTGCCCAGGAAAAATCCAGTGTGCATTAGGTAGTTCTCTTCCGTCTTGTAGCTATGCCATTCGGAACAGGTGGCCTTCAAGATTGCTAGTGCAGAGGAAGAGCAGGGAAAGACCATGTAAGACATCGCTCAGGACCAGGCCTGGAAGTGGTCTGCCTCACTCCTACTCACATCCCAGTGACCAGAATCCAGTTACATGACCTCAACACAACTGCAGGGGATGCTAGAAAATGTGCAGAAACACATGGATATTTATGCAAACAAACGTTTGGGCTAAAATCTCTGCCACATCCCCCATCCTTTGTGCAGTAGAACGTCTAGAACCGCCCCCCCTAATTTCCAAGGACACTCAAAGGCTCACTATTGCATTTGCATGGCTCTCTGCTTTCCTGCTTCCCCCATACCGTTCTCCACAGTTGTGCCCACTTCCCATGACCACTCACCCTTCCCAACACCAGCACCACATCATGCCAAGCATGCAGCATGGCCTTTTTTCTTTTTCCTTCATTCTCTAAAGCAAAATGAACACAGTGTTTGTTTGGGTAACAGATTTTCAGTCAAGATATTGTAGAAAACCTAAGAGGTTCACAGTACTACACAGAATGAGGGGAAAATAGAATTGAATGATTGATGTCATTGTGCTACAAATTCCCCAGCCATTCCCATCACAAAGAATCTGTCACTGGCTGCTTCTCACCTTCATCCTAAGCCTGCCTGCTAATGTAATACCCCCTATCTTTC